CTTTAAAAGGGAAAAAAATTAAGCCTTAAAGGGGGGGGGGGGGGTTTCTAGTTTCAGGGTATCCTCCACTTTAGTATTGACTTGGAGCTCCAGCAACCCCTTCCCCCTTCATGTATCAATGCCCATCTATTGGCTACTGATGCTTGCTTTTCAGGACTGGTGACAAAACAAATATGCCAGTCAAAGTAAACACTACACTTTACCGGATGAATTCTGAATTGGCTGATTAAAAGTAAACCTGAAATTTAGATAAAAATCTACACACATATATGACTGAAAGAAGAAGACTTAAGCTTGAAAAACCAAAGATAAAATCATGTATCCATCTATTACCTGGTTGCGTTCATCTGTGATGTAATCCAGGGCATTTAAACTTGCAGGAAAAGCCAAGTTAAACATGGAAAGAAGTGAAGGCAGGACGGGAAACAATATTTTTAAAAAGAAAAAAAGCGTAGTGGTCTTTTGTCTGTAAAGAGAAAAGCGGAAATTAACACCACGTATGCAGAAACACACCCCTTCTCTTGTGCATTGTAATGTGACCATTCTGTAGCAGCTTTCAGTTTCACATGAACTGTCACCACCACCTAGTGGGCACCAGGAATTTTCCATATACACCTCTCATTCAAACTCAGACTGCAAAATTATATTACAATATAAATACATAATTGTAAAAACTTTGAAACATTTCATATTTTACTATATTTACATGGTTGAGGGAGGCAGGACAGCATGTCATGTAAACTGGTGAGGGATATGTTTCTAAACTTACAAAGCAGTTTGAAGCTAGTTAAAAGATTTGCAAATGGATGGTAAACGTAAGCTGTACACACTCCCCTTATGGATGCAAAATACATTTTTACAAGGCCTAAAGAGGAGTAAGAAGATAAACTTTATAGAACGAGGACAAATCTAGAAAATAGCGTGGCATTCCTGATTCAGTCGCCACTAAATGGAGATTTGCTGCATCCCAAAACATGGGAATGACTGCAGGTTAAAAATAGCTTTTTATTAGGAGGAAAAAAAAGTTATCATGAGCCAATCTGCCAAAACATCTAATTTTCCTATATAAATTATCTAGAATTAGATGCTGTGCTATATAATTCTTCAATACACGTGTACATAAAACTTTTTACAGGACCACATTTTATTTGCAAGAGTATAAATATAGAAGCATATACATTTAAATCAACACTAACATTTAAGTATTCTAAATCACTGAGGAAAAATTATCAAAACTGGAGCAGACAAAATCTGGAGCAGTTGCCCATGGCAACCAATCAGCGTCTCTCTTCAGTTTGTTCACTTAAGACTTAAAAATGAAAGAAGAGCTGATTGGTTGCAATGCACAGCTGCTGCAGATTTTGATAAATCCTCCTCTGTATCCTAAACAACTGCTTTTTATTTCCAATATAAAATACTTGCTTTTCACTCACCTCATAGTTCTAGCCGACCTGTGACAATGAGACTGTCACAGGTCGGCTCCGTAGATAGGGAAGTGAGCAAACACATACCGGTGTTCGCTTACCTCTCTATCCTGTCACTGCTCTCTGCCGTGACAGGGGAGGGGCTGGATTCCCGCCTCCCAGCTCCGATCCTCCAGCGCTGACTGGCAGAACGGACGGGGAGGGTACAGCTGGCTCTGCCTCTAGATAGGCAGAGCCAGCTGTCACTCACGCAGCTGGGCGGATCCAGACATAATTGTCGGGATCCGCTTCAGCGTCTCAGTATACCGCAAACAGCGGCTCGCGGTATACTGCGGCGTCTCAGTATACCGCGAGCTAAGCTCGCGGTATACTGAGCCTAGGGTGACGGGAGGACGCTAGTTTAGGTCCTCCCGTTACCCTGAGGAGATCTATGGGGGGAAAGCCTTAACCCCATAGTTCTCCTTTAATGTTGTTAATAGCCACCATTTTTTTTAAGTTTTGCAAGGAGCAGAAAAGGATTAACATCCAAGGGTTTATTTTTGCTGTCTGTGTCCTTTTGGAGAGATTTCCCTTCTGAGGGGGGGGGGTGGTGCATTGAAGTCAATGGCACCACAGCCATGCCCCTCACCTGCAGTGCGATCGCCCGAACGAGTGGCACATTAGTGCCTGCGTTCCAGTCCTGTGCGTGCTGCAAAAATACTGCAAGCACTATTTTTTTGCATATTCGCACTGGACCAGGACGCAGGCATTAATGTGCCTGTGTTCCGTGTGCAGGCGATCGCACTCGAGGTGGGGGCGTATCTGTGGTGCCATTGACTTCAATGCACCACCACGCCCCCTCCCCCCCCCAAAAAAGTGAGCCAGCTGGGGTGCGTTCCAGAGGCCGGACGCGATGGAATGCACTCTTTTCGATGTGACTGGGCCATTAGGCTTTTTCCACACCCATGTCTGAACCACATCCACAAACTTAGTGCATTTCTGCCTCGTTCCGGTTCGTTTTTGTTTTAGCTTAAAAAAGGCTTTCAGGTGCAGTCCAGTGCATGCATTCAAGTTTATTCCAGACCAGAGACTATGAGACAAGCAGTATTTTTTGTGTGTGGACCAGAATGGATTGCACTGTTGTGAACAGAGCCCACAAATACCATTGGGTTGCTTTTTTGGTCCGGGAACAAACTATTATGGTCTGGACATGGTGCGAACAAGCCCTTAGGGCCGGTTCACACCACATAAGGCAGCGTTCTAGAGCTTTCGACCTCTGGAACGCAAGGCGGGCGGTTCCCTGCCTTTAGGGGCATGGCAGTGCATTGAAGTCAATGGCACTGCAGCCACACCCCCTACCCGCAGTGCGCTAACAAGCACTATTTTTGCAGATCGCATTGGACTGGAACGCAGGCACTGAGGTTCTGGCGATCACACTGCGGGCGTGGCTGCGGTGCCAATTACTTCAATGCACCGTCACGCCCGCGGAAAGCCGGCCGACTTGTGTTCCAGAGGCCGAACGCTCTGGAACGCAGTCTTTGTGGTGTGAACCGGCCCTTAGATTGCCACCATCTTCTCCCTTGCTTCTTCTGGATGTCTTCAGCTGTCTTGATAGGGCAGCTGGGGGATGAATGAACTCCTGCACACAGCTCATTCATTCTGGCACAAGGGTGCGCTGAGAATACACACCGAGCTGCACATGCACAGCGTACATTTTGAAGTAGATTGCGAACAGGCAAGCAAGATAGTTCTATTGTAGGAGATATAGCGTGTCTCATATAATAAAGTGTCTGCTCACAAATTATTTACTTCCACTTTAAGACAGTTGTTCCTGGAAGAGTCATCCCCTATAGCAGAATTTTCTCTCTATCCCTGTTCTAGTGACAACTGTAAGATTTCTGATTAGAGTCAGGGTTGAATCAAGATAGTGAGGACACTTGACATAGGCTCTAATCCCTCCTTTAGCCGACCATACACTGCTCCAATTTCGACTGCCGAATCGGCAGAAATGTAGGCCGTGGGTGGCCCAACTGGCAGCCGTTCTTCCCTGTTCAACAAAAGTGGACGAAAAAGGAGGTAGCCTTAAAAGGAGAACTATGAGGCGAGTGCTTTTCACTCACCTCATAGTTCTAGCCGACCTGTGACAAAGAGACTGTCACAGGTCGGGGCAGTAGATCGGGAGGTGAGCGGACACATATAGGCGTTCGCTCACTTCTCGATCCTGTCACATCTCTCTGCCGTGACAGGGGAAGGGCTGGATTCTCCTTGAACTTAATAATCGGCTAACTAATCGATTATGAAAATAATCGTTAGCTGCAGCTCTAGTTGTAGAGTGTATGGGCACCTTAAGAATCAGGTAGTTGATCCACGGTTTTATCGCTCCTAAGCCACCCGCTACAATATTAGCATTGTGGCCAGACAGTGCTGTATACATTGCTGCCAAATTTTACAGCATGTCACGTTTGGCAGGCGGTGCTGCAGCAACCAAAGAAGTGAAGTGAATGGGACGGAACCGCAATTGCATGCCAAACTTTGCGTGACGTTGTGGTACAATAGTTCAATGACCTCTCCCCCCTACCAAAAAAGAAAAGCCAAAACAGCATTTAGAACCAGCAGTATTGCCTCCTGAACACTGGATAGCCCACTGAAAAGCGATCCAATGCAGATCGCCTGCCACCCGTCTAAATGAGGCCTCAGGGCTAGTGCACACCTAGGCTCAATCCATGCAAAACACGGGGACAATGGGTCCCATAGACATCTCTACGCATTGAAAACCGCAAGGTTTTAAAAGCAAAGTCATGCAAACAAAATGCACGACAACCACACAAAAACAGCTCACCGGCTCGATCTCCTAGGTGTGAACCTGGCCTAAGGCCATATTCACACCATGGCGGCAGCGGTTCAGAAAGGACTTTCTTTAAATCGCATTTCAGCGCTGAAACGATCAGCGCGTTTCCATTGAAATCTATATGGAAACCACACTGATCAGTACAATAAAAGTAACTCTGGGAGCATTTTGGGTGGCAGGTATTTTGGATCCGCGTGCTTGCATGAACGGTCCCCATTGGAATGTATGGGGCGGTTCAGCGCGGGAAAAGAAATGCACGACCAAAGCGCCCTGGTGTGAACGGGGCCTTAATAACAGACAAACCCAGTTCTAAATAAAAGTACCCGAAATTAAAATATACATCCAAAGACAAACTCAGATCTATAGAAGATTAGACGTAATTGCCTACTTTAAATGACATAAACCCAGACCACATTGATGAATAACAAATCCAATCCACTTTAAATGACATAAAGGCCATTGTATAGAAAAGATGAATTCATAAAGTATAACAATTAAATGTAGAAGGGATCTTCATTGCAATCTCATGATTGCACGTTTAGACTATACCATCACCCAGAATAACCCAGCAGGTGGCCGATTAACCAACCGGCACGTAGCCGTCTCCCCGAACATGAAGCCCAGGTCCGGGGCTGACAAGACCAAGCACGCCTGTCCTCATTTAAGCCTTTGCTCGTACAAGAGGCGTGCTATACACACGCACGTTCCCAGCAGTAGTCCCTCTTCTGAGCTTGGCAGCCGTTCCCAACTCCATAGACAGACTATAATACGTCCACAGACCGCTGCACTTCACTCCAACCTCGTGAGACTCCCATAGCACTCGTTACTGGGGACAGACAACTCCCCCAGGCGAATGTAAAGCTCGTGCTCGCACCGTGTTAAGAGCCTACATATATTTACTGGCCATTCCCAGTGACTGTGCGTACCTGACGTAGGTATCCCCACTCAAAGCAGCAGACTATAGTCCAGTGGAGGTGAGACTAGAACAGGGTGGACGGGGCAGACTGCTGCAGTCGAGGGGAGTCCCCATCCCTTTCGCCTGGCGCCACACATCCGCTCACCTCCGGCAATACAGCCGACTCTCCGAGCGTAGAGCGCTCTCATTGTTAAAGAAGCCGGCGTTCCATCCCACTCGTCGCTTCACGTGAATCCAGCGAGTTAGCCAATCACAGATGATCAGTCGGTACACTCCAGCCAATGGGAAAAGAAAAGCGGCGCACTGGGTTCCACGTGAACGCCTGTCCTGTAGTGGTGCTAGGCTATAGAAAAGGGTACATAGAGGTACATATGTGAGTGTGTGGGGGATGGGTGCGATGTGACTGACTGATATAGACATGTGTCCCAGGTTCATCCAG